AGAGAGGGTAAGACTGGATTACTGTTCGGAGACAAGGATTTTGAAGCTCTGTTTCACATACTTTGGCTATGTTGTCAGAAGGGGACAGTTTTGGTAGAAAGGCATTATGCTTGGAAGGGTGGAGGATCAGTGCAGGAGAGGAGGACTCTAGATGAGATGATTCGACACAGTGTCTGTGGCAGTGGGATCAGGTGTGTCAGAGGTGAGCTTTGCTCAGGATAGGGCAAAGTTCAGAGCCATTGTTCATAGAATTGCTTTGAGGCATAGTCGACTCTGGCACATAATAGCATTTCCAAATGAGATTACATGTATAAATGTCTCCTCTTTCTCACCAATTTATAGTCAGTCTCCGTCAGGTTTCTCAGGTTGACACTGTAAGTCATAATGAGAGGAAACTTGGCCCATCTTTTCCCCAAGATGTGGCTAGTGAATGAAAACTGCTGGAAACCTCTTAGTTATCATGTGGAGTGTGCCACCAGGGCTCCTGGTAAGGAATTTTAACACATGGTTTTGGGAGGTACAATTCAGTCAAAACATGTTTTTCTATCTTTTTAAAAAGATATTTTGATAACCTTTGTCTTTTAATGAATGAGCCCTGTGGTATTGTGGTTAAAGTGCAGCATTGTGCTTCTGTAAAGATTTTCCTGAATTGGAACATCTTACTGGGCATTTCTAGTTTGTCTGATTGTGTTGCTATATGTTGGAATTGATTCAATGACAGTGGTTTTGGTGTTTACCATTTCACTCAGAGCACTTAATCCATTTATATTTTGTGTAATTGTTCTGATATATCTGGATTTTTTTCCTGTAAAGGGCCAGAAAGTAAATATTTTCTGATTTATGGGCCACCTGGCCTCTGTTGGAACTGCTCAACTCTGCTATTTACCTGTAAAGTAGCTGTAAATATACAGAAATATACAATACACAAAAATCAGTGGAATTCCACTACAGAAACAAACAAAACACAGCTAAGAAAGCAATACCATTTATAATAGCCAACCACAAAACAAGGTATTTGGGAATAACCCTAACTAGAGACACAAAATATCTTTATAAAGAAGACTATAAAACACTATGGTGAGAAACAATAAGAGTTTTCCATTCAGAAAACTGAGTGGAAAAATGTTCCCTGCTCATGAATAGGAAGACTCCATGACAGTGATAATGACAATTCTACTAAAAGCAATCTACATATTTAATGCAATCCCGGTACAAGATAGTAAATTCATTTTTCAAAGAGATAGAAAAAGCAATTGGCAAGTTTATTTGTAAAAGAAAGAGACCATGAATAGCAAAGCACTTCTACAAAACAAAAATGAAGTGGGAGGGATAGCATTCCCTGATCTCAAAATGTACATCATATGATTTGATCGTACACTCACACAAAAATAATAAAATAAAATATTAAGAATATAAAAAAAATTAAAAAAAATAGCTGTAATAACCGAAAGAGCATGGTACTGGTACAGTGACAAACATACAGACCAATGGAACAGAATCGAGAACCCAGAAATTAATCCAGCTACTGGTGATTAACTGGTATTTGACAAGGAAACAAAACCTAAAAACGAGGAAACGACAACCTCTTCAACAAATGGTTCTGGACTTCCAACCTCTAGAAAGCTGAAGCAGGATGCACCATTTTACACTCTCACAAACAGTGAATAAGGAAGCAATGAGCTGGTAAAATATTGTATAACTAACATGGGAGAGACTGGAGAGCAGTATGCCAAGAAAACTAAGTCTCCATAAGGACAAATATTACATAATCCAATTATTGTAAAAATAGAAGGATAACTAGTAAGATGTGAATAAAATTCCAAGGGAGGAAGAGGAGAGAGATAGGAGGGTTGAGGTTGGGGAAAAGGGCAAATCGGGAAATCACGGGGTCACAAAGTTTGGTGGGTAGAATGGGGTCAGGAAAGAAGTGAGGAAAAATCCACCTGGGACCTGAAAAGACAATGTGATAGTGGACATCAGTGGTTATTAATTGTACAAATTACAGAGTATATATGATTGTATGAGACATATATGAATGAGGGGATGTGTGAAACAATGTACATGAATGAAACAGTGTACACAAATTTATATACAAACAAATATAAAAAATAAAATTTAAAAGAAAGGCTGCAGGTAATACACGGAGCTCTGGTGGCCTAATGGCAAGAAGCTGCACTGCAATCCCAAAGGCATGCAGTTTGAAGCCACCAGCTACTCCACAGGAGGATAAGACAGTCTTCTCCTATGCAATTAACTGCCTCTGAAAATCTACTGGAGGATCAACTGTTGGTCAGTTCTGACTGTCTGGTACACAAAAACAATATAGTTAATAAATTAAAAAAAAAAACAACAAAAAAAAAAACGCCAAAATACCAAACCCAACACTATCAAAACTAAATGCTGGCTAGATTTGAGCCATGAAATTATAGTTTGCTAACTGCTGTAATGATTCTCACTACTGGACCGATTGGCAACATCAGGATGGATAGTGAAGAGTTTGAGATTGTACACAGCTTTAGTTTGCTTGGCTCCACAGTCAACAGTCATCAGCAGCCAGGAAAAGACATATTGCCATGGGAAAGTCTGCTGTTAGGGACCTCTCCAAAGTACTGAAGAACAATGGTGTCTCTCTGGAGACTAAGGTGCATTTGATACAGGCCATGGTCTTCGCAATCACTTGTTATGCATCAGAAAGTTGGACAATGAACAAAGAGGATAGAAGGAGAATTGATGCCTTTGAGCTGTGGTGCTGGAGAAGAGTATTGAGAATACCATGGACTGCTAGGAAAACAGATTTGTCCTGGAAAGGGTTAAACTCGGTGGTTCCTTGGAGGCAAGGATTCTGAGGCTCCGTCTAACATACTTTGGACATGTTGTGAGGAGAGACCGGTTCTTGGAGAAGGACATCATGCTTGGTAGGGTGGAGGGACAGCTCAGGAGAGGAAGGCCCTCTATGAGGTGGATTGATTCAGTGACTGGGGTAATCGGGATGGGTGTGTCAGAGGCAATGAGATTGGCACAGGACAGAGCAGAGTTTAGGGCTGTTGTACATAGGGTCGCTATGAGTCGCAAGCGACTCGATGGCACATAACAACAACAACAACAACAACTGCTGTAATGTTTTACAATTTTGTGTTTGTCAGAAGATCTTTTTGTCCTCTTTGATTAGTAGTCTCTGTGAGAGCTTAACACTTAGTGGCTCAACTTTTCTCTTGGGTTTTTATTGCCTTTGGAGTTTCAACTTGAAGGATATAGAATATATACCATGCTTCTTACCTTTTGTTTGTTGTTTTTGTTGTTTTATGCCATCGAGTTGCCTGCTACTCATAGTGACCCTATGTACAACAGCTCTAAAAGCCTGACTGTCCTGAGTCAGTGTGACTTCAACACACCTACCCTCATAGGCCTAGTTACTGTATCAATTTATCTCATCCGTCTTCCTCTTGTTCGGTCCCTCCACCCTTCTGAGCATGATGCCCGTTCCTTCCCCAAGGATAGTTCCCTCCTGGCTGGCTATATGCCCAAAATATATGAGATGGAGCTTCAAAATCCTAGCCTCCAAGGAGAAACTTGGCTTCACCCTCTCCAAGACCTATTTGTTTTCTTGGTGTCCATGGTATATTCAAGACTCTTTTCCAACACCACGACCCAAAGGCATCAATTCTTTTTCTGTTATCCTTAGTCCAACTCTCTGATAGCAAGTGATTGTGAAGACCATGGCCTGAATCAGGTGCACCTTAGTCTCTTAGATTGGCATTTTACTTCTCAGTACTCTGGAAAGGTCCCTGACAGAAGATTTACCTAAACAATTCGTCTTTTGATTTCCTGACTGCTGGTGCCAACAGTGTTGATTTTGGAGCTGAGCAAGCTATAACTATTAGCAACCTCAGTCTCTTTTCCATACATCATAGAGCTGCCATTTGACCCAGTGGTGGGAATCTCTGTCTTCTTGATGTTGAGCTTCAATCCATATTGAAGACCTTGACCTTCTGCAGCAAGCTCTTCAAGTCCTCTTCAGTTTCAGCAAGCAAAGTAAAATCCTACTGAAGATTATCCGGAAATGACTGGAATAGTACATTAACAGAGAACTACCAGAAATACAAGCTGGATTTAAAAGAGGCCATGGCACTAGAGACATTATTGCCAATGTCTGTTGGATCTTGGCAGAAAGCAGAGAGTACCAAAAGAATATGTCTGTGTTTCAAAGGCATTTGACTCTGTGGAACACAACAAATGAGAATGGAAATCCCAGAACACTTGATTGTGCTTATGCAAAACCTGTATTTGGACCAGGACACAATCCTCAGAAGAGAGTAGGGAAACACTTCATGGTTCAAAATCAGAAAGGGAGTGGCACATCAGGGTTGCGTCCTGTCTCCATACCTTTTCAATCTGTATGAAGAACATATCATTCAGAAGTCTCGACTTTATGAGGAGGAATGTGGAATCGGGATTGGAAGAAGACTCATCAACAACCTATGTTATGCAAGTTACACAACCTTGCTTGCTAAAACTGTGAGGAGATCTTTGGTTTACCTTATTCTAAATTGTCTTGTCTTACTCATTGAAGCAGTAAGCTCTGCTTTCTTTATGTAGCCTCTTAAATACCTCTTCTAGATATCCTTAAGGGAAAAGCTACACTACCTGCTTCTATGGTTTAAAGGAGCCAAAAAAAGTCACTGTGCCATTAGTGAGAGGCAGTTACTGTTAATATTTCAAAAAGTCACTGTGCCATTAGTGAGAGGCAGTTACTGTTAATATTTCTTAGAGAGCTGGTTTATGTCAGAATGGGTTGAGAAAATAAAAGATCAGCTTAGATTAGATTCCCTGAGAATGAGGTTATTAATGTAGCCAAGTGTAGCTATGATTGAGCGCAACCAGAAACTCCTAATTGTATATGCACTTGTTTAAAGATATCTGTTTCTATGGTTGTAATTTATTTTGATAAATTAGTTTTGGTTTTGGCCACTAAGTGAGATATTATAATTTTGGTTTGACAGAGCCACAATAGAAGAAGCATATTCCAGGTCAATGACAAAACTAGCAAAATCAGCAAGCAATTATTCACAACTTGGGTGAGTTAATATTTTGTCTTTTACAATGTTCATCTAGCAAAATTTTTGAGACCAATGTGAGTTTTTGAGGAGTAATTCAATGTAAAAATTTGGAAACTGGGGAAACATTGTATTTTAATTAGGATGTTGAATTATTATTTTTAGAGATTTTTACAGTGTGATAAAGAGTTGTAGTGCCAACCTGAAGGCACATTGTTTGAATTCCATCAGCTGCTCCATTGGAGAAAGATGGGCAGTGTCCTACCAAGTGATTTACTGCCTCTGATAGATAACTGGCTGGAGAGTCAGCTAGGGGTTAGTTCTGACTAGATGGTACATAACAACTACAGTAGAGTTAAGAGTCCTCTAGATCTAGGATTCTTATAATCCCTTGAAATTCTATGCAAAATAATAGTGATGTATTAATGCTATTTTTTAATTGAAGAAGGATCTATAACAATTTTTAGATTCAGAGTTGACTGCTCCAAACAACGAGCAAGGATGACTATTGGAAGTGTCCTCTGGTGAGGTTGAATGAGTTAATGTGATCTGGGCCTCATTAACTCTTTTTAACAGGTTAATAAGAGGAATTGGAATCTTAGTTTATCCCCAGGGTCATGGCCCTGCCCATTATGTAAGTGTGGCCACTGCTGTATGCTGTAGCTGGAAAAGTTTGAAAATAATTTACATAAAAAGAAAATTGTTAAAAAAAAAAAAAGAAAGAAAATTGTTTACATAGAAGAAAATGGGGAATGGTATTTAATAGTTATTTTTTACTTTTACCTCCTGGTTGTTTTCTAGTTTCTTACTCCTGTTCTCTACCGTTTTAATTCTTCCTCCTTTTTTTCCATTAACTTTTCTAGCAGCTTGCATTTCTAGAAACTCTGTACTTTTGACATCCTTCTTTTAAAACATCATTTCTTATTTACTGACCACAGTAGAAGAACCAGGAATTAACTGGAATAAAGGAAGGCAGTTTAACTAATTGGCCATAGTTTTGTTATAGAGAAATTTGCCCTATTTTTTAACAGGAAGAAGGTAAAGAGAGCATGGATTTGCTTCAACTGTGTCTTCCAATAATAGTTATGTTTTTGTTTTTGAGATTGCAGTGCAACTTCTTGCCCATAGACCTCTAGAGCTCCCTATGTTTTTGTTTTTGAAATATGTGCTTTTAATAAGTAACGGGTAGTGATTTAGTTTTTGGGCCATCTTTTTTTAAGATCATCAGGATTTTAAATGTAAAGCTCTTATTGATGGACACATTTTAACAAGATACTGAGTTTTGTTTTTCTGAATCGTTTATATATTTGTATATTCATGTTTAAATGCTTTGCATTTGTCATTTTTTAAATTAGTTTTACTATTGTATAATTTATAAATTAATGTGTATATTTATTTAAATGGGAAAAATTTATGAAGGTCAAACTTTGAGAAATTGCATGATATTTGAAAGTCATTAAACTTATATTTACCAAAATCTTACATTGAATCCTATTGTAGTGTAAATAATTCTCTGGTAAAGAACTTATCTGTTTTGTAAGGTCTAGATCATATATCAGGTTTACTTGAAGTAAAGTACGTGTATTTTGATGCTGTAGGGAGTGGATACTTTTCAGGTATCGTTTCCTCTTGAAATTTTCCATCCAAGTACTTGACACCTTTAGTGCTGATTAGATTTTTAAAGTGTTAGATGAGTTCTAATCAGAACAGTGCTATTCTGAGGACTTTAATTATTCACTTTGAACTTTTAAATTATTGTATAAAATGATTCTTGTCAGCATTCCTACTGGCTAGCTCACTCACTCATTCTTTGCCTTTGGAACGGACTCAGTTCCAAACTCACTTGTGTGAGTTTTCAGAGACTGTTAATTGCAAGAGGAGATTGCCCATCTTTCATGGAGTGTCTCGTAGATTTGAACCTGCTGGCTGGGAAATGTAATAATTGGCATAAAGTGTACATTAGATTAAGTAATGATCCCATGTCTTTGTGATCATTGCTGAAGTTTGTTTGTAAAACCATTTTAAAAGAAGTAGTTGAGAAAATATCAGAGGAAGTACCTGAGGAAATGATGAAATAAAATTATCTTTAGATCATTCTCTACTGAAAATATTAGCTAGGCACCATGGATACTTTTTAATGATTTTTGGCTATTTTTGAGCTTGCTGAAAATGTCAAAACCCCAGTAGTGAGAAAAAGGAGTAGGGAAGTATGTCATGTATTCTGTATCCTTTTGTAAGAAGAAGTCTACTGGTATGTCATTGAGGTACACCAACCAGATAGGTTCCAGTAAAGGCTTCTAGTTATTACTAAAATTACTAATGATGAAGACCTTTGAAAAATTATTCCTGTAAATTTAAGTTTCAGGAGTTTAAGTTCAAAGAATTATTTTTGATAAGCGTTTAAAATGGTGCACTAAGCAGTCTTAGTACTTGATAATACTTTGAGCATGTTGTAACAAGAAGGACCAGTCAGTCCTTGGAGAAAGACATCAGAAGGTCAGTGAAACAGAGAAAGCCTCTCGGTGAGATGGATTGATAGTGTGACTGTAACAATGGATGAACTCGAACATGAAATTAACTAGGAGAATAATACATTATAATTAGGAAGAAGGAATGGTATAGCCAGACCTATGAAAAGTAGTCAGCTTATTTCTTTGTGCCTGAGGCAAAATTTTAAATAGTTAGTCAAGAATAGAAAAATCAAGTCTGTCAATAAGACATTTCTTTCATCATTTATTTTAGCTTCACTTCTTCGTTAACTGTAATTGCGGAATACAGCTTGTTTCCATTGACATGTTACAGCCCAACATTTACTTTAAAAATTATTCACTTGTATGGTTTTTTTTCCTTTAGAACATTTGCCCCAATGTGGGATGTGTTCAAAACATCTACAGAGAAATTAGCAAATTGTCACCTGGATCTTGTTAGAAAATTGCAAGAATTAATAAAAGAAGTTCAGAAGTATGGAGAAGAACAAGTAAAATCTCATAAGAAGGTATTACTTTTTTTGCTAAAGAATTGGTTGGTGACATGTTGAATACATTCTTTTTGAGGAATCATTTTAATATCAAACAGACTAAGGAAGAAGTTGCTGGAACACTGGAAGCTGTCCAAACTATTCAGAGCATAACTCAGGCCCTCCAGAAATCCAAGGAAATTTACAATGCCAAGTGTGTAGAACAGGAGCGATTAAAAAAGGAAGGAGCCACGCAAAGAGAAATTGAAAAGGTAATTATCATAAAAATAACACGTCTATTATTTCAGAGCACTATTTAATCTTCAAACTCTCAAGAATGATTTCATTTTAAAATTGAATGCCTTGTACCTCAGAATATTATTTACCTACATAACACAGAAGTAAGTTTGTAAAATACAGTAATCAGAAAGGAGTACTGGTGGTGCAGTGGATTAAGTGTTAGGCAGCTAACCTTAACCTAGGTTGACAGTTTGAATTTACCAGCACCTCTTCAGGAGAAGGATGAAACAGCGTATTTACAGCTTTTAGAATTCTGTGCAGTAGTTCTCTGTCCTGAAGGGTAACTGTGAGTCAAAATCAACTTGATGGGAGGAAGGTGGTTAATCATAGGGCCACACAATTTGATGGGATGAGGGAGAGGTAGATGAAGCAAACGGAAAAGATCCAGTGTGAAAAACAATGTATACGAACTTTGTAAATAAATCAGTATTAAAAAAAAAACACAACTTGATGACAATAAGTTAACCAAAATATATTGGCAAACATATAAATAGTTTTTTTATATTGGTGATATATCTGTAAGACATCTTGATGGTAAGATAATTGTTGCAGTTAGGCTTGGTATAAGATTTAATACTGTATTTGGAAAAATACAAATATTTGAAGATAAGCTTTAAATGTATGCTATGAGACATTTATTGCTGACTTTGAGAAATCTTTATATTGTGGTAAACCACAACTCTTTCCCTTGCTTGTTGTTTTAATTGAAAGGGGTTTATCCCCCTTTTCATAAGTTTAACCAGCTTGTTTCATGTGGCATAACTCATTAAGAAATGTGAATTGAGCTATGGGGAGTGATAATTTTGAGAACTTTTTATTTGAACTAGATAGTAGGAAAAAACCTCAGTCAAAATGAAAAGACCACAAACAAAATGCACATATATTAGAATTAGGACTTTTACAATGTATTTGTTTGTTAGGTGCCATTGAAGAGAGCTCTGGTGGATTAATGGGATTGCACTGTCAGCCCAGAGGGTTGGTGCAAATCCACCAGATGCTCAATAAGGGAATGATAAGCAGCCATCTCTCATACAGTTCACAGCCTCAGATGCTCTGTAGGATCTGTACGATCATCTGTGAGTTGGTTCTGACTCATAGCCATAGCTGTGACTTTACCTTTTGAGTTGCCATTGAGTCTTCTCTGACTCAAGAATACTCGTGTATTGAGGAGAACTAACGACATCATAAGGCCTTCAAGGCTGTGACTTTCGGGCGGTAGATCACCAGGCCTGTCTTCTGTGGTACATCTTGTAGTATTGGGCTCAGTCAAGCATGGCAGAGAGCATAAGGATAGTGCCTTGATAGGGCAGAGTTCCGATCTTGTTCACAGGGCTGCTAGGGTTTTTTGTTTTGTTTTAAATAAATTTTTTTTATTTTAATAGTGGTTTTAGCAAAACTTTACAGAAAAGTTAGATTTTCATGTATTCATTCTCTTCCCTCCTCCCCCAGTTCACTTTTTTTGTCTGTCTGTTTTTCTAAATATTCATTCATTGTTGCACAAGGCTGCTATGTTTTGTAGTCGATTCAACAACTGGCTGGGTTTGAGATTATGTCTTTTGGTTGTTAGTCTAGCACTTCTGTTTATAAACAGAGCCACTCTCTGCTCCCTTAATTCCAGATATAGAAATTATGAGTAAAATAGACAAAGGGAAAACAAATTAATTGAAATTTTCCAGCAGGTTTAAGTCCTGCTGGGTTAAACATTGCTCTTTTTATGCATTCCACTGGTTGTTGTTACTGTTGTTGTTAGGTGCCATTAAGTCAAGTATGACTCATAGTGATCATATGGACAAAAAATCAGATTTTCTTTCTATCTGTTGCCATCTTCGTACAGGCACCTGATACAGGCTATGGTCTTTGCAATTACTTGCTACGCATCAGAAAGCTGGACAATGATTAAGGATGACAGAAGGAGAATTAACGCCTTTTAGTTGTGCTGCTGGGGAAGACTATTGAATATACCATAGATGGCTAGGAGAACAAACAGGTGCATCCTAGAGGGGGTGAAACCAGGCTGCTCCTTGGAGGCAAGGGTTCTGAAGCTTTGTCTGACATACTTTGGGCATGTTACAAGGAGAGAAGGACATCATGCTTGGGAGGGTGGAGGAACAGCATAAAAGAACAAGACTCTGGATGAGATGCATTGACTCTGACTGGGGTAATGGGGGTGGGTATGTTGGAGATGATGAGGTTGGCTCAGGGTAGAGAAGAGTTCTGAGCTGATGTACAAAGGGTTGCTATGAGTTGCAAGTTACTCGATGGCACATACAATGTATACTTTTCATCCTTCCTCATAAACCTTTCCTTTTATAAACTAGTAGGTAAGGAGCTCTAGTGGTGTGGTATGTTCCATGTTGTGCTGCTAACCAAAATGTCAGCCTTTTAATCCACCAGCAGCTCCTTAGGAGAGTTTTAATAGCCTTGATAGTTTTAACTCCCTTAAAGTTTTAATAGCCTTGGATACCTGAGGAAGGGTTGTCATGAAGTGGAATCACCTTGATGACCATCAGTTTGGTTTGGTTATATAGGAGAAGTCCACTTTTGTAGACTATGATTAAGTGTTTTAGATGTATATATTTGTTTAACAGGCTTGTTAACAGGTTTGTCTGGTATGAGTATGTATATAATCACCTTTTCCATTCTCCAGTGGTGTAGAGTCCAAGTCTCAGATTCTTGGACGTTGGTGTATATATTTGTTTAACAGGCTTTATTACAAAGATTTCTGGTATTGTGTCAGCAAATGTGTTTGTTACGATTGTTGTTGGGTGCCTTTAAGGTAAAACAGACTCGTAGCTGACCCTCTAGCAGGTTTTCAGAGGGAGTAGCTTGCATTGGAGAGGATTACCCATCCTCCTGTGGAGCAGGTGGTGGGTTTGAATGGTGTCCCTTTGGATTGCAGCTCAGATTCTTAACCGTTGGGCAGCAGGGCTTCTTATTTTGCTTATAATGCTCAGAAAATGGATAAAATGTAGAATATTATTTTCTTATCAGGTATTCTGTTACAGCTACTCTTTCATTTATGAAAAGAAATATATCTATTGCTTTTAAAGCATAATTTCTTCATTTAAGAATTGATGCTTGAACTTCTTTTTTAATAATGATTTTATAAAAGTAATGAAGCTTTCTCCTACACCAGGGCATTCACTTTCTATACTTGAGAATCACCATTATTACTGTGCAGATAGGTTTGCGAAGTTGCTTTACTTGGCAAAGTTCAGCCTTGTTGCATTTTTACTGCCTATGATGGATGAGTCTTGCTTTTAAAAAAAATAAAGATGTGCCCGATGTTTTTGTTGTTACTTAAAAAACATTGTATGAAGCATTTATTTTAATTTTTAAATTTTTTTATTATAAATTTCAACAAAAATTTACAGAGACTTTGGATTTTCATCATTCATTGTTGTACTTTCCTCCCCTCCCAGCGCTCCTTCCCAGTACACTCCCCTCTTGGAAAAGTAAAATTGTTTCATTGTTTTACAGTCCCTCCCCCCAGGTCTACTCCACTATGCAGCCTTTTGCTCTGGACTCTGTCATGACAAAAATACCTAATCACATATCCCTTTTCAACAGTTTTCTCCCTCATCTGTTTCATTGCAGTATACATTATTGAACCCTTCTTTCTCAGTCTCCCCCAACCCCGACATCAGTCCTGTTTTACAACAGTGGCATCATGCAGTATTTGTCCTTTTGTGACTGAGATACTTCACTCAGCATAATGTCCTCCAGGGTCACCCATTTTGAATAATATTGCATGAGTTCCGTGTTTTTCAGTGCAGCGTAATATTCCATTGTGTGAATACACCAGCTTCTCTATCCATTCATTTGTTGATGGGCACTTAGGTTGTTTCCAACTCCTTGGTATAGTGGACAAAGCCACGATAAACATGGGTGTGCATATGAAGCATTTTTTTAAAACGTCTTTCCTAATAAGAGCTTTTGTTAGTTCTCTGTGGTGCTTCTTAAAGTTTGACATGTAATTTCCTTAAGACTCTAACTTTATTTCACTTTTCAAGAATGAGATTTGATATGAAAAATAAAAATAAGGAAAGTGAATTTTATGCCATTTTTTTGTATATACTTGGAATATGTTCCAAAAGATTTACCTGTTATCAGTTCTCAGACCTGACAGTTAACCTTTGAGATGACAATTACTTTATGGTCAGATTTCTGATTATGTTTACATGCTGAATTGAATGGCCATCTAGAAGATTTATGTTAAAAAATATTGTGAAATAAAATTATAAAAATACTCTAACTAGATAGCACATAACAACAACAATTTAAAAATTATTACCTTAATATTTTTATCCCTCTTTCCTTGATATTTGAAGCTTCAAAATTAATTAGGTAGACATCTAGAGACTATATTGGATATAGGAAAAGAAGTTGATCATCCAGGAACTTCTTCCTGTCTCTCAGAGCCTTGTAATTCTAAGTAGGATGAATAATGTGAACTAATTACTTTGTTTACAGTCTAGAAATATAGGTCTTCTGTAAGGAGTAATGGGCCTCTGGGCAGACATCCTTCAGTTCTATCAGATTATAATTTCCTTATGGGTGAGAAATCATGTATTTATATAGTACAGCATATATATTTGCTTGCTAAATAGTTATTACAATAGAATATTATAGTATTTTTTGTTATGTAATAGAGATTATCACAAGAGTTTTTGAAATTAAAGGTTTAGAATAGTTCTTGCACTTTAAAATTATTAAAATACTTTTCTGCTTTGGGTGGTGACATAATTTGCATGCAACTGTAAATATGTGTTTTCATATCTACCATATGTCTTTATCATGTTGGATGCTAAAAAGTTTATCATCTCTGTCTCCAAGAAGTCTCCTTTTTATTGAGGAGCCAAGACAATGAATAATAGAGATCAAGAGGTCAGCAAGAGGGTTGAATGGTGATTTGAGAAGAGGAGATATATTTTATACAGCACCTAAAAAAGTACAGGAAATATTCCACAAAATATGACACTTTAAAAGTATAGATGGTACTACTATATTTTATTAGAATATGCTATTTTTATATGTCTGGATTTCTAATCATTGATCCCATTAAGTGAAGTATGTGCCACGTGGTAAGGAGAGATAAGGCTGACAGGTTTATATAAGGAGTATCAGGCATGTTCTGGTGATAGTCATGCCTTTTTGTGCGTTGTCAACAGGTTTGTGTTTTACATTGGTTTAACACGTTTTTAGTAACCCTTTTTAGCTACAAATGTAATCATACGCTCTAACTCTGCTTTATAAACTGAAAATATTTTAAATTTTCAGAGAACTTTTCAGCAGAAAGGAGAATCAGCATTTAATTTTTTAGTTGTAACATAACTAAACATTAACAGGATTATTAAGGACAACTTAACAAAATTAGTGTTAAGAAACTGCACTGTAACAAAAAGTGAAAGTAGGAAACACTAAAAGGAATAATAAACTGACTTTTGTAGTAAAAAAAAAAAAAGAAACTGCACTGTAGTCCCAAAGGCATGCAATTTGAATCCACCAGTTGCTTTCTGGAAGAAGGATGGGCATTCTACTCCCATATAATTACTTGCCTCTGAAAACCCTTGGAAATGTACATTAGTCTCATCCCCATAATAAGTATGATAACTTTTTATTCCATATTATGTCAGAAAAGAAAGTAGGTCATTGTGGACTTAAAAATGTTTTTGTTTTGTTGCAGGCAGCTGTTAAGTCAAAGAAAGCTACAGATACTTATAAACTCTATGTGGAAAAGTATGCCTTAGCAAAAGCTGATTTTGAACAGAAAATGACAGAAACAGCTCAGGTTGGTATTTTTAAAACTTTAAGTTTAAACAGATTTATCAGTCAAAGAAACAAGATATTTATATATACTGATTAAACTATAATTTTTCTGTCATTTTTTGCATTAAAATGATGAGATGCACAATCTCAGTGTTAATACCAAATGCAGAAATTATAATGTTGTAAACATTACTCAAGTAGATCAAAGAGCCTCTTTAAAGACAACTGGGGAACATGATGATATTTGAAGGTAATGAAGACAATGTTGATTGTTAGCCTTATGTGTGGGCTTCAAAATTGTCTTTTGCCTTGGATTGAACTGGAAATGACTCAGTAACACTCATAAGGTTGGGGTAATTATATTTGATTTGATGTTCTTAGAACTTTAATTAAAGACTTGGATTTAAGACTTGTGTCTCTTATGGATCATACCTAAACCCACTACCTCCAGCAATCTTGTTGTCTTTTATTACCTTCCTCCCCTCTCCTTAGTACTTATCATTATCCAACAAACCATATATTTTATTTTTTCAATCAGCATAGATTAGGTGTACTATGATGACAAGGGAGTGCCCTGCCCCACCCCCAAAATGTCAATGACTTAAAATATCAGAGAGCCCAGGTAGCGTAGTGGGTAGCAATCTCTGATGGTTTCAGATTCACCAGTGGCTCCAATGGAGAAAATAGACAGTCTCTTCCCTACGTTCAAGCTTCAGAATCTTGATAGAAGGTAACTGTGTGTTGGAATCAACTTAATGGTAGTGGGTTATTATACAACATCAGCGTTTTATTTTTTGCTTATGCTTTGTATTCGTCTTGGATTAGCTGTAGTTGTGCCCCACAACATCTTCACTCTGGTAGAGGAAACTTTATTTGGAACATTGTTATCTTACCTGTGGGGTTTCTTATTGTTACATGCTAGTTGACTATGACTCATAGTGACCCTATGAACAAGAATCTGTCTTATCCTATTGCCGTCATTACCATCTCAGATATACTTGAGCCCATTGTTACAGTTACCATGTTAATCCATCTTGATAAGTGTCTTTCTTTTTCTTACTGTCCACCTTTCCTAGCATGGTAATTATTTCCAAGGAGTGGCTGGCCTCTCTTGACCCAAAGTCTGTGAGGTTATGCCCAAAAGTATGTGAGATTTAGTTTTACTCTCTTTGCCTCTAAGGAGCACTGTGATTGCACTTACTCTAAGACAAATTTGTCTGTTGTTTTGGAAGTCCATGGGATATTCTGTACTCTTTTCCGGCACCTCATCAAAGGTAACAATTCTTTTGTCATCCTTATTTATCATCAAAGTAATTGAAAAGACCATCACTTGAATCAGGTGCACCTGAGTCTTTACATTGGCATCATTGCATTTTAGCCTTTTGGAGTGGTCCAGGACAGATTTTCCAGTTACAATGTCTTCATTGTTTTACTGCTGCTATCATGAATGTTGGTTATGGATCCAAGTAAGATGAAATTGTTCACTACTCTTCCCATATTTTCTGTCTGTCTTTCCATAGTAAAATGTTAACTTCTGTGAAGGCTGGGGTTTTTGATAGTTTTTCTTACTGCTGTGTCCTAAGTGCTTAAACATCTTAGCTCATGTTGTTGTTGTTGTTGCTGTCAGATGCCATCTCTGTGAACAACAGAAGAGGACATAATATAGATTAAGGAATCAGAGAGGGCCTTTGTGGAAAATGAAATTTAAAACTCATATATAAAGAATGAATAAAACACTAGCAGGGCAAGAGAGTTCCAGGCCTTGGGGATCATGAGTATAAAATCTCAAAAGTATAAAAAAAACTATTACATTCTAGAAAGGTAAACAAAGGGGTAAAAACATTCTAAAATTGAGCAAGGGAAAATGGTAGTGAAAAATGAGACTGGACAGATAAAGCAAAGACTAGAATTCTATAAGGATTTAGATTTGCCTTCTCCTTCTAGGTGACTTACTGCCTCTGAAAACCCACCGGAGGGTCAGTCTGAGTTGGCTGTGAATTGGGAACATATAACAACAACAACATACACAAAAATTAGACTTGCAATGAATAGTTTAAGGATGTATAAAAATATATTAATGTTAAAAGTTCCACAAGCACAGACTTGGAGTTTAATTAGATTTGCTGTGGTTTCTGCAGTTAACATTAAGTATTCCAAGAAGCAAACCACACTTCTCAAAGGGCTATTTCTCTCTTCTGAACTAAAATTCATCTCTGATAACTCCTCTATTTTCATTTTCTGTCTCTTTAGTAAGCTGCACATGTATTGTTTCTAAAGTAGATTTTCTTCATTAATAGTATGCTGCTGTCGGAACAGAGCAGGGCAACACTGCACGGTTCAAAATTGGGAAGGGCGTATGCCAGGGATGTGTCCTATCTCCATACCTTTTCAACCTGTATGCAGAGCAGATTATCTGAGAGGCTGGGCTCTATGAGGAGAAGTGTGGAGCTAGGATTGGTGGAAGATCTATCAACAATCTGCGTTATGCAGATGACACAACCCTGCTTGCTGAAACTGAAGCACTCCTCCAGAGGGTCAAGGACTGCAGCCTTCAGTATGGATTGAGGCTCAATGTCAAGAAGACAGAGATTCTCACCACTGGACCAATCGGTAGCATCAGGATGGATGGCGAAGAGATTGAGATTGTTCACAGCTTCAGTTTGCTCGGTTCCACAGTCAACACTCTTGGCACCAGTAGCTAGGAAATCAAAAAACGTATTGCGATGGGAAAGTCTGCGATTAGGGACCTCTCTAAAGTACTCAAGAGCAACGGTGTCTCTCTGGAGACTAAGGTGCGCCTGATACAGGCCATGGTCTTTGCAATCGCTTGTTATGCATCAGAGAGTTGGACAATGACTAGGGAGGACAGAAGGAGAATTGACGCCTTTGAGCTGTGGTGCTGGAGAAGAGTATTGAATGTACCATGGATTGCCAAGAAAACAAACAGATTCATCCTAGAGAGGGTTCAACCAGGCTGCTCCTTGGAGGCAAGCATTCTGGGGCTTCGTCTGACATACTTTGGACATGTTTTAAGGAGAGACAGCTCTTTAGAGAGGGACATCATGCTGGGCAGAGTAGAGGGACAGTGCAGGAGGGGAAGACCCTCTATGAGGTGGATTGATTCAGTGACTGGGGTAATTGGGATGGGTGTGTCAGAAGCAGTGAGATTGGCACAGGATAGAGCAGGGTTTAGGGCTGTTGTCCATAGGGTCGCTATGAGTTGCAAACGACTCGACGGCACATAACAACAACATGCAATCTATGCCAAGACCAAGAAGCAGTTGTCCGTAATTGAGCAAGGGAACACTACAGGGTTTAAAAATGGGAGAAATGTGCTTCAGGGTTGTATCCTCTCTCCATGCCCCTTCAATATCTATGCTAAGCAAATCAGTTGAGAAGCTGGATTTTATGAAAAAGAGTGTGACATTAGGATTGTAAAAAGTCTCATTAACAACCTGCATTGTGCAGATGGCATAACCTTGCTTGGTGAAAGTGAGGAGGATCTGAAGTGTTTGCTGCAGAGGATCAAGGACTGCAGCCTTCAGTATGAATTTCATCTCAATATTAATAAAACAAAAATCCTTGCCGTGGAAAAATAGACGACGTCATGTTGTTGTTAGGTGTCATCAAGTTGCCTCTGACTCATAATGACCATATGTACAACAGCCCTAAACCCTGCTAGGTCCTGTGCCAATCTTATTGTCTCTGACACATCTACCCCCATCATCCCAGTCACTGAATCAATCTACCTCAAAGAGTGTCTTCCTCTCCTGCGATATCCCTCCAACCCCCCCCCCCAAGCATGACATCATTCTCTTAGGACTAGTCCCACCTTGCAACATGTCCAAAGTATGTCAGATGAAGCTTCAGAATCTTTTCCTCCAAGGAGCAGCCTGATTTAACCTTCTCTAGGATAAACCTGTTCATTTTCTTAGCAGTCCTTGGTATATTAAATACTCCTCCAACACCACAGCTCAAAGGTATCAATTCTCCTTCTATCCTCCCTAGTCATTGTCCAACTCTCTGACACATATTAAGTGATAGCAAACATCATGGTCTATATCAGGCACACCTTAGTCTCAAGAGTGACATCATTGCTCTTCAGTACTTTGGAATTTCTATACTTGAGGATGCTTTGGGCCGAATATTAAATGATCCAGGAAGTACTAAAAGAAGATGGAAAGAATATACTGAGCCACTGTATCGAAAGGAATTGGCAGACACAGAAGAATTTCATGAAACAACATATGAGCAAGAGCCTGTGGTGATGAAGGAAGAAGTTCAAGCTGCTTTGAAGGAATTTGCAAAAAAGAAGGTCCCAGGAATTAATGTATACCAGTTGACATATTTCAACCAACAGATGCTGCCCTCAATATACTCACCACGTTGTGTCAGAAAATCTAGAGGACAACCACTTGGCCAACTGACTGGAGGAGATCTATATTTGTTCCCATTCCAAAGAAGGGTGACCCAACAGAGTGTGTTAATTATAGAACAATATCATTGATATCACATCCAAGCAAGATTCTGCTGAAGATTATCCAAAACCAGCAAATCAACAGAGAATTGCCAGAAGTCCAGGCTGGTTTTAGAAAGGGTCATGGTACTAGGGATATTGTAACTAATGTTAGATGGAGCTTAGTGAAAGCAGGGAATACCAGGGAATAACAGGGAATGTCTATCTGTGTTTCATTGATTATGTAAAGGCATTTGACTGTGTGGATCATAACAAACTGTGGCTGACTCTGAGAACGGGAATCCTAGAACACTTGATCATGCTAATATAAAATCTATACTTGTACCAGGAGGCAGTCGTCAGAACAGAGCAAGGAAACACTGCATGGTTCAAAATTGGAAAGGGCGCACGCCAGGCATGTGTCCTGTCTCCATACCTTTTCAGCCTGTTTGCAGAGCAGATTATCCGAGAGGCTGGGCTCTATGAGGAGAAATGTGGGGTCAAGATTGGTGGAAGATCTATCAACAGTCTGCGATATGCAGATGATACAACACTCCTTGCTGAAA